TCAGCCTCCTCTGTGCTAATATTACAGGAGTGCACCACTGCGCCCAGCTTATTACTTTTTTTCTATATTTAGGACAGGGTCTACAGGGATTACAGGGTCTCACTACGTAGATTGGATTTGTAGTGATTCTCCTGTTTTCAGCCTCCCAAGTGCTTGGATTATAGGCAGAGACCTAGTCTCAATCAGTCTCGGCGTGCCTCTGGGGCGGGGCCAGCATGGCATGCAGGGGTCAGGCGCGTTAGTCCAGCGTTAAGCGGTTTAGTCCGCTGAGCTATCAAGCCAGCCCTCAGATAGTTACTTCTAATTCAGAGAGGTCACATGGAAAAACAATTCCATGAATGGGAACCCTCCTGAAAAAAGGGAGTGGCCCGCTCCAGCAGGGTCCTCTTAGGACAGACCTCACAGGTGCACTCTGCCATCTTCCTGCACTGGGCTGTGGCACAGTTCCTACCTGATGCCATGGAGGGGGCACAAAGCAGCACTGTGAGGTCAGGGAGATAGCTCCGTGGCATAAATGCCTGCCTGGCAAGCGCAAGGTTCTGAGCTTGACTGCCAGTAACTTCACCTGCCCCCCCCCAAAAAAAAAAACAAAGAAAAAGCAAGCACTTGTGGCTTGACTCTTATTTTTCTTTTTGAGACAAAGTCTTGCTATGCAGTTCAAGTTGGCCTGAAACTCACTTTGTAGCCTAGGCTGGTCTCAAACTCATAATGATCCTCCTGCCTCACCCTTCCCGAGTATTGGAATTACAGGTGTGCGTCACCACACCTAGTTATATTTTATTTCTTTTTTTTTTTTTTTCACTACAAAGTTCATGCTGGTCTTGAATTCACTTTGTAGCCCACACTGGTCTGAACTTGAAGTGATCCTCCTGCCTCATCACCACCCCGCCACCCCTGTGCTGGGATTACAGGTGGCCCTCAGGCTTGAATTTTTTTTCTTTTCTTTCGGTACAGAGAATTGAACCCAGAACCTTGCACTTGCCAGGCAGGCACTGTGCCACTGAGCTATATCCTAGGATCTTCCAGCTTGAATTTAAATGTCACTATGAAAAGTGTTCTAGATGGTAGCCATCTTGGGGGGGGAATGAAGCAATGAGAACTTGCTATCTGTGTTAATGTGTCTCTTTAATTGTTGGTAGAGGGGCCGGGGAGATGGCCCAGTAGAATAAGCACTTTCCTGGCAAGCACAAGGGCCTGAGTTCAATCCCTGGTTCCGAAAAAAAAAAAAAAAAGAGAGAAATTGTTGGTAGAATTGGGGCAAGATACTTAGCCAAAAATGGCAACATGTAATATACAGGCTATTTTATTACTGTTTTTCTTTTTGGAACCAGGGATTGAACTCAGGCCCTTGTGCTTGCTAGGGAAGTGCTTATTCTACTGAGCCATCTCCTCAGCCCCCAAGCTATCTTATTACAAAATTAGGTTCTTTTCCTATGAATGTTCACGTCACAAACTTGACATTCTGATTTCTTGTCAAAATTACTATTCAAAAGAATGACTAACTGGGGGCCGGGGAGATGGCTCAGTGGAATAAGGGCTCCCTGGCAAGCTTAAGGGCCTGAGTTCAATCCCCGGTTCCGCAAAAAAAAAAAAAAAAAAAAAAAAAAAAAAAAAAAAAAAAACTGTACTCTTACAAATGTACAGCTGTTATCCTAGCCTAAAATAACATTCAAAAAAAGACTTAAAATAGAGGCAGATGATGACTTCTGAAAATGCCTTATTAGGTCTTAAAATAACAGCATTACATCACGCTTGAAACTCAGGCTGGGCCTGTATGAAGAGCAGAGGACTGAGCATGGCCCTTCATGGGGCGCCTCCTCGCAGACCTTGGCAGTCTGACCACTGCCAGATACTGCCGGAGGTCCAGGAACTAACCTGAGGGAAAGAGGAAAGGCCCCTCAGGGGGGTGCACAGCGCCCCTCTATACACCTCTCTTCCTCTCCTTGGGGCCCTTGTCCTCCAAGAAGTCGCTCTCCACTGTGACCCTATTTGGAAATAGCATCTGCAGGTGTGAGGGTCGGAACCCAGGTAAGCAAGGATGGAGGTGAGATCGCATCAGGACGGGGGGCCTAACACCAATAAAAGGGAACTTGTAAGACACAGCGAAGGGCACATGCAGGCGAGGACAGGGACGCTGCGGAGCCCAGGGCACGAGTAGCTAGGAGAGGCAATGAACGATGCTGCACTCTCTACTGCTCTCCCCACACCTTTCTTTTCAACTTCTGGCCTCCAGGCTGTGAGGGGACAAACCCGTTTGGTTTTTTGTTTGTTTGTTTTTCATAATTTTATTGAGAAACAAATAGCAATGAGAGAGTTTCAAATCAAATTGGTAGGACAGTTTCAATAACTAACACATTGCATACATTTTTCCTGACAAACCTGTTTGTTGTTTGCTTTTCTGAGACAGGCTTGCCTCAAGCGCACAATCATCCTCTTGCCTCAGCCTCCTGAGAGCTGGTATTATAGACATGTATAGAGCAGGTCCACTGATACCTGCTCAAATCTGAGGTTTTAAGGCCCCCTGTATTTGGTCCCTACCTGCCATGGTACCTTCAGCTAAGGGATGCACCATCTTTTTTTTTTTTTTTTTTGCGGAACTAGGGATTGAACTCAGGCCCTTGCGCTTGACAGGCAAGCACTTATTCTACTGAGCCACCTCCCCAGCTCCGGGATGCACCATCTTGATCAACTGGTTTTATTTTTTTGTCTTTTTGAGATAGGGTCTTGCTGTGTAATTCAGGCTGGCTTTGAGCTCACTTTGTAGCCCACAGGGGTCTCGAACTAGCAATGATCCTCCAGTCTCAGTCTCCCCAGTGCTGGGATTATAGGCGTGCACCACCACACCTGGCTTCAATCAAATGATTTTAAAGCAAATTATAAAAATGTATTAGTAGGTGATACATCAGTCCAGGAATGGAGACAGGGCTTCTGGTCTCTGACCTTCCTTAACATGAGCCACTCCTGGGGTGGTTAAGTCTCTGTCCCCCCCACTCCCACTTCAACCTCTTCACCAAGGGGTGCTTAACTTTAACCAAAATGCAGCAAGATAGAGAGATTGTGTTCCTGGGGTTTCTCGCCCTTCCTCCCCCCTCCCCAGTGAAGGGCACACTATACATACCAGGCTCTCAGTAGATGTTCTTCGGTGTGTGTGTGTGTGTGTGTGTGTGTGTGTGTTTGTTTTTTTTTTTTTTGGTGGAACTGGGGATTGAACTCAGACCCTTGCACTTGCCAGGGAAGCACCTATTCTACTGAGCCATCTCCCTTCAGTAGATGTTCTTGAGAATTCATTTGATACATACAATTCTTTCTAAATGTTCTTTATCTTCCCTCAATACTACTTACAACAATTTTGTGTTTGAGGTCAGACCATAGGCTTGCTTTGCAAATTTCATAGTACAGGTAAATTAATCTCAGCACCCAGAAGCTCCATTGAAGCAGGAAGGGCTCCAATCACTCAACTGTGATTCTGAAATGAACCTCATTTTCCCCCACAAAATTAATTTTGTAATACTCTCATTAATCGCTCTCCATTCAGTATGGATGCTGGAATCTAAGCTGAAATCCGACTACAGGTAGGTAGCCCTGACTCCAAGGTGACATTCACCCCCCGAAACCACTGCAGAGACTGAGGGCACTTCCAGCAGCAAACAAAGGGCAGTGAGTGTGGTGAGGGAAACACAGACTATACCGGAGGGGCCGCTCAACACAAGACTCAACTCCACCACCTTCTTGCTAGTTCTGCCACACTGGGCGTGGCCCAAGCTCCTGGGGGGCTCCTCTTTCTTCTCTGCAAAAATGAGGTGATAGGGCTGGGGAGACAGCTCGGTGGTCTAAATGCCTGCCTGGCAAGTGCAAGGACCCAGGTTTGATCCCCAGTACCAAGTGCTGTACTGGCCCCAGAACCCCAGGTGTGCTGTGCCGGCAGCGGGAACCAGGCGAGGTGGTGCACGCCTGTAATCCCCGCACTGGGGAGACTGAGACAGGAGGATCACTATGAGTCTGAACTGCGCAGCAAGAGACCCCGGACCAAATGCATAAACAAATAAAAAGATTTAAAACAAACAAAAAAAAGAGGTGATAATACATCTGATCAGTCCACCTCAAGTGAAGTGGTCACGAGGACAAAAAGGGCTGAAGGAGACAGAAAGTACTCTACAGTTAATAGTGCTGGAGAGACACATTTTATGATCCCCAGGTGTCACGGTGGACTTGGAGTGATAAGCACTTTAATGTTAAAAGCTAATTAGCACCTCCGTAAAGTTAGTCAGTCCAGGGTTGTAAAAGTGCACACAACAAAATGTGACCCTGAAGCTGGGTGTGGTGGGGTACGCCTGTGATCCTAGCACTTGGGAGGTGGCAGCAGGAAGATTTCTGAGAGTTCAAGGCCAGCTTGTGCTACATTAGTGAGTTCAAGGCCTCCGTGAAGTACTTAGCAAGACCTTGTCTCAAAAAGACACTGAGTGCTGTCATACTCACTTGAAAATAGTGGGCAACTCATGTTTTTTTATTTTTTAAATTTTAGGGTCTACAGGGTCTCACTATGTAGATCAGACTCATAGCAATTCTCCTATTTTCAGTCTCCCAGGCCCTGGGATTACAGGTGTGCTCCCACGCCCAGCCTCAGTCACTATCTCAGGGCACCCTGGGGATTGAACCCTGGCTGATGCGCTCTGCCTAAGCAGGCACTTTAATCCACTGAGCTATCTGGCCAGTCCCAATTTATGCTTTTTTAAAAAAATCATGCCTAAAGGTATTGACCTGAATCTAAGTGTTTAACAAAATGTTAAAAAAAAGTAATGGGAGCCAGGCATGGTGGCGCATGCCTATAATCTCAGCACTGGGGAGGGTGAGGTAAGAGGATGGTTGTGAGTTCAAGACCAGCCTGGGCTACAAAGTGAGCTCTAGGCCAGCCTGAGCTGCACAGTGAGACACTATCTCAAAATGACAAAAATAGACAAATAAATAACAATGGGAGGAAAATGGGAAAAATTGACCCAGACTAAGTTCAAGGCCAGCTTGGACTGTACAGCTAAACCCCATCTCCAAAGAAAAAGGAAGGCACAGGCCAGGTACATACTTCACTAATCTCAGCACTCTGGAAGGCTCAGGCAAGAGGATCACAAGTCTGAGCCCAGCCTGCACAAGCAACAGGGAGGCCTTGTCTCAACATTTAAAAAATGAAAGAAAGGGCTGGGGATGTAGCTCCATGTGAAGGCCCTGGGTTCAATCCCCAAGGCTGGAAAAAAAAATTAATGGGACGATGTGAGTAATGCAATGATAAGAAAGCCATTATAAACATCAACGTTACTGAAATGAACAACCATCAAAAATTGTTACAAAATGAATAGTCACACAAACCTACCTTCCAGTTTGCCAGTTTTTGAGACTCTATAATTTTTATAACTGCTCCCATGAGAATACCTGGAAGAGAAAATATAGCTTAACATAATTTTAAGCATGAGAAAGATTGCTCTGGCTTATTATTCTAGAGAAACTGAGTATTATCCATGGCGTCTCCAAGGGGTTTTGATGGGGTTTGTTAGGGTTTGTGTCTAAGTGCCCCCCAAAGCCTCCTGCAGTCATGGGGCAACTTCTAGAGTGTGTCTTTTTTTTTTTTTTTTTGCGGAACCAGGGATTGAACTCAGCCCTTGTGCTTGCCAGGGAAGTGTTTATTCCACTGAGCCATCTCCCTGGCGAGTGTGTGATTCTTGATCCAACGCTTGATTATTGGAGTGGGTGCTACCCCTGCCCTGGGGTGATCTGCATTACAATGTAAGGAGGAGGGAGCTGCTTGCCTTTGTGGCTGCAGCCGAGGCTACTCCCTTTGCGCTTTGCTGTTTTCCACCGCAATGAACTGCTGCCCTCCGCCATGCGCCACTCTGCCTTGGAGCCAGCGAGTATGGACTGAAATCTCCATGAACTGTGAGCTAAATAAACCTTTCCTTCCTTAATGTTGGGTGTTGGGTATTTTGTCCCAGCAACAAGAGAAAAATAACCAAGACAGGGTTCTACAAGTTTTCTGTTAAAAATATAAGTGTTAAGTTTTATAAGTCATGTAACTGTCACCTGAATCGCATGCAAACACAGAAATCTAGAGATTTGGGGGGGGAAGGAAAAGCTTTACAAGGCAGGGTCCTGAGTTCAATCCCCGGTACAAAAAAAAAGGAAAAGCTTTACAAAATAAGACCCAAAATACTCTGCCTGGCCTGAATATGTATCACCCTGCTATTTTTCATACATGCATCTATTTTCAGTGTGATATGGCAGAAGCACCCGGGCACAGGTGATACACACCTATAATCTCAGCACACAGGAGGCTGAAGCAGGATGACTGCCACAAATTGCAGGCCAGTGTAGACTACACAGTAGCTCAAGGCCAGTCTGGAATGAATGCATAGACTGTTTCCAAAGGGAAGTAAAACAACAGCAGCAAAGGCTTGCAAGCCCATATGCCTGTAATCCAGTACTCGGAGGCTGAGGCAGGAAGATTGCTGAGACCAACCTGGACTACAAAGCAAGCCAAGGCCAGCCTGAACTATGTAGTGAGACTACATCTCAAAAAAAAAAAAAAAGCTTAGAAGCCAAGTTTGTCATTAAAAAAAAAAAAAAAAAAAAAAAATTCAAGATCACTTTCTCAGATTCAGATGGCAGCTCTATGTTGAATATTCAGTCGGAGATAAAACACAAATGTTGAAAATAACCCGTAGTAAATGTTTTGTGAAGTTCCTGGAAGGAAGCTGCCATCTGAGAGCAGCAAGCTGCCATAAGGTGACAGGCGCATCATCTCTCCTGCAGGCTCATATGGGAGGACAGCACACTGGAGCCCAGCTTAAGCAGCTTGTAGCTCAGTGCAAGAACCCTGGGCTCAAACGCCAGCGCTGCAAAGCAAAACAAAATAGAAGAAAAAGAAAACCCAACAAGGGTTGGCAAGGATATGGAGAAAGGAGTACCTTCATCTTTGGCTGACAGAAACGTAAAACACTGTACTTTGGCAATTCCTCAAAAAGTTAAATATAGTTACCAAATGACCTAGAAACTCCAACCAGGAGAACTGGAAACATATGTTTATACAAAAATGTATGTGTAGATATTGATAAATGCATTATTTATAGCAGCTGAAAGAGGGGAAATCCCAAATACCCATTAACTAATAAATGGATAAACAAAATACAGCATATCCATATGATAGTGGCATATTGTTCAGCAATAAAACGGAATGAAGTATTGACAGATGGTTTAATGTGGATGAATCTTGAAAATATACTAAGCGAAAAAGCCAGAAACAAAAAGATCACGTATTTTACCAGTCCATCTGTATGACATGTCCAGAACAGGCAAATGTACAGATAGGAAGGGTTTCCTAGGCTTGTCAAAAAAAAAGGTTATGGATAATAGCTAAAGACTATGGTGGAGCTGGGGAGATAGCTTAGTGGCATAAGCACCTGTCTGGAAAGTGCAAGGTCCTAAGCTAGATCCTTGGTATAAAAAAAAAAAAAAAAAAAAAAAATCAAGCCAAGTGCAATGATGCACACTTGTAATTCCAGTACTTAGGAGGCTGACATAGGAGGATCACTGGGAGTTCCACACCAGCCTGGGCTACAAAGTGAGCTGAAGGCCTGCTTGAACTACACAGTAAGACCCTGTCTCACAAAGACAAACTAAGATAAAATAAAAAATAAGGACTATAGTAGTTCCTTTTTGGTGTGATGAAATGTAAAATCAACTGCTCTGGTAATGGTCACACAATTCAGTGAATATACTAAAACCACTGAATTGTACCTTTAAAATAGGTGAATCAGATATGCAAACTACAGCTCAATAAAGCCATTATCCATACAAAAAAACGCTCTATGATTTCATTTATGTGAAATATCTAGAACAGACAAATGCAGAGACAGAAAGCAGATCAGTGGTTTTCAGGGTATTCAGGAAGAGGAAAATGGGAAGGGACTGTTACTGGGCACAGGGTTACATTTTTGGCAATGAAACTGTCCTGGAACTAGAGATGATAGCTACAGAACCCTGAGGATATAGTAAAAACCACTTGTAAAACCCAATTGTAGGGTTGACGAGATAGCGCAGCAGACTAAGCTCCTGCTTATGCAAGCGCAGGGACAGCAGTCTGATCTCCAGCACCACGTGCCATGCCGGCCCCGCCCCCAGGCGCACTAAACTGGCCACTGAGGCCAGATGTGGTGGCGCACTCCTGTAATCCCAGCGCTGGGGAGGCCAAAAACAGGAGGATCACAACGAGTCCAAGCTGCATAGGGAGACCCTGTACCAAATACATTAAAAAAAAATTGCACCCAGATGTGATGGCACATGCCGGTAATCCCAGCACTTGGGAGCCTGAGGCAGGAGGATTGCTGCAAGTTCAAGACCAGCCTGGGCTCTAAAGTGAGCTCAAAGCCAACCTGAACTGCATAGCAAGACCCTGTCTCAAAAAGACAAAAATAAAATAAAATAAAAATTACAAGGTAATAAAACCATACAACATAAGTGATAATATTAGTAGATGCCAGCAGGTACTAGCTCCTTACAAGTTAAACATTCGAGTACGTATTTACATGAGTCACTACATTTAATGTCTGGGCCTATCATCTGCATTTTAAAGATAAGGAAACTGAAGCTAAGGCCCAGCCTCATTTAGCTGGTAATTAGCGGGAGCTAGAATTGTTATGAAAATCAATTAATTTTGTTTGTTTATATAACAGATGGATATGGTACAATATTTTAAAGTTATAAAAGAGGCAAGAGTTATGGGCATGCCTATAATTCCAGCTACTCAGGCGCTTAAGGCAGGATAGCAACCTCAAGCCCAGCCTAGGCAACTTAGCAAGACTATAAAAAACCAAACCAAACCAAACCAAAAATAAAATGGGATGGGGTGAGCCTAGCATATGCAAGGCCTCTGCTTCCATCCCCAGTATCACCCCCCAAAAAACAAAAGTATAAAAAGGTAGACAGTAAAGATTCAGGGGCTGGTGAGATGGCTCAGTGGTCTAAAGCACCTACTTAGAACAAGCTTAACAAAAGCAAAGGGACCATGGTTCAATCCCCCAGCACCACATGCCAGCCAGCCCCGCCCCCTGGTGGGCTGAGCTGGCCACACACACACACACACACACACACACACACATAAAATTTATTTATTTATTTATTTATTTTTTTTTTTTTTTTTTTTTTTGTGGTACCGGGGATTGAACTCAGGACCCTGAGCTTGCCAGGCCAGCGCTTATTCTACTGAGCTATCTCCCCGGCCCCAAATAAATAAAATTTAAAAAAAAGATTCAAACTACCCATCCGTTTCCTTTCCCCAGTATCATGGTAATTCTGTACATTTCTTTTGAGTTTCTGTACATTTATCATTATATATGTACACATGCATGTAACTATCAAAAATTGTAAGACAAATGACAGTACAACAGTTACATCTGGTTTCTTAACATAATGTAAATCTCAGAAACCATTCCAAGCCATGTGTGGAGGCACATGCCTATAATTCCAGTACTTGGAGGCTAAGACTGCCTCCAGTGTGAGGCCACCCTGGGCTACAATGTGAATTCAAGACCAGCTTGAACTACATAGCAAGACCCTGTCTCAAAAAAAAAAAAAAAAACACACACACACACACACACACACATAAATAAATTAAAAAAAAAAAAAAAAAAAAAATTCAGGGGCTGGTGAGATGGCTCAGTGGTCTAAAGCACCTACTTAGAACAAGCTAAGCAAAGCACAGGGACCGCGGTTCAATCCCCCAGCACCACATGCCAGCCAGCCCCGCCCCCTGGCGGGCTGAGCTGACCACACACACACACACACACACACACACACACACACACACACATAAATAAATTAAAAAAAAAAAGATTAAAAAAAAAAAAAAAAAGGAATTATTTTGTAGCAACATGTAAGGGCTACCCAGTACTTTTCATTCTGCTAGTGCTAACTAGTCCACCATATTCACATGCCAGACACCAACACCAAGGAACAGGCATGGCATGTTTTCCAGGCTTCTGGTGTCACAGCCAAAATACACAATACACAGTGTGCCACGTGGCCATGTGCCAGTAATGACCTTGGTTATAAGTTACTTACGCTGGCCAGCATCGACCTTGGCTACAACATCTAGTTCCACTGGGGTATCACGAGAAGCACCTGTGCTGGGGCTGTCAACAGAGCCCAGCACCTCTCAGGAACCCTCCCTTCACTCACAGGGCAAAGGTAGGGTACCAGCAATGCCTAGCCTTAGTGTGTACCACTGAAAGGGACCAAGAAAGGAGGAGCAGAATGTTAGAGTCAGGCACCCCAACAGAAAGCCATATCTGCTGCCTATTTTCCAGAAGTGACCCTGTTCTTGAATCAGAGCCCACAGATATAGGAAGAGCGGGGTCTATGAGGAAAGGCCTGAATTACCC